CCGCGGAGCTCCTCTGCGCGCCGGCTCCTGCCGCAGTACGGCAGCCCGCAAAACACTACCAGCGGCATCCTCCCAGGGCGCGGCCATGTGCAACCCGCACGTCAACTTCCGGGTTGCCGGTGTCCAAGACGCAAACCGGAAGTGCAAACTGAACTTCCGGCAGGCCTTGGCTCTTATAGGACCTCTTGTTGCTATGGAAACGAGAGTCCCAGCCAACTAGACCCAGGTCCTCTTCTCTCAGAAAGGAGATAAGAGACTAGAATGGCATCATTTATTTATGTCAAATGTTACAGGCCTCATGGGAATGTTATCTCCCTGTGGCCAAGGACTTTACCCATTCATTTCTAATGGGGCCTTTGTGAACATTAAATATTGCAAAAACAATCAGAACTATATTTAGTATAGAGAAGACAATTCACAAATGCTAGTTCCCCTTCATTCCTTACACCCAGTGGCTCTCAATAACTGTTTGTTCAATAGCCATTTCAGTCACTTAACATCTCCGTGTTTGGGGATTCAGAGATGAACATAAAACAGTTCCCCTATAGGAGATCAAGGGTCTGAATGGGAAGAGTTAGGCACCTACAAGCAGAAAAATATATACTACTAGAGGCTCGATGCATGAAATTTGTGCAAGAGTAGGCCTTCCTTCCCCTGGCTGCCTGCGCTGGCTTCCCTCCGGCTGCTGGCAGGCACCCAGGCCCCAGGCTTCCCTCACAGCCCCAGCTTCATCCAGAATGTGGTCCGGAAGGATGTCCAGAAGGACATCTGGTCTAACTAGCATATTAGGCTTTTATTATTATAGATAATGGAGGGTGGATATAGGTTGGGTTGTAACAGTACAGGGGAAAAAAACACAAACTGCCCAGAAAAATCACTGAAGACTTTATCTAAAAACAGTCATTTGATTTAGAACTTGAAAGACTAATAGGAATTTTTCTCCTAAGTAAGGTTGCCAGATAAAATACATGATGCCTAGTTAAATTTGAATTTCAGATAAACAACAAAAATTTGGGGTTTTTAAAAAAATATATTTTTTTAATTGATTTTAGATTTTTTGGGTTTTTAAAAAATATATATTTTTATTGATTTTAGGTAGAGGAAGGGAGAGAGATAGAAACATCGATGAGAGAGATCCCCCACTAGGGATCGAGCCTGCAACCCAGGCATGTGCCCTGACCAGGAATCGAACCAAAGCATGATTTCCTGGTTCATGAGTTGATGCTCAACCACTGAGACACACTGGCTGAGCCAAAACAATTTTTTTAAATATAGGTATGTCTCAAACATTACATGGGGCATATTTAAAATTTGTTTACCCAAAATTAAAATTTAACTGAGCATCCTTTATTTTTATTTGCTAAATCTGGCAATCCTACTCTAATTCAGAAGGTATGAGACTCAGAACCACGAAGCTGTAGAATCTGTTCTAGCAAAAGCAAACACTATAGTTTGTGTTTCTGTGCAAGTATATGTGTGTAAGGTAGGTGCACATAAGTATATTGGGTCTTTGTATTTCTCCAAAACATTTAAGTCTTGGCTCTGCCACTTACTAGCCGTGTAAACTATTGTCAAGTTATTTAACCATTCTGTACCTCAATTTCCTCTCCTGCATAATAGTTCTTACTTCACAGGCTGAACCAACCTTAGAGGTTGTGAGGATTAAATGAATGAATGCATACAAAGCACTTCCCTTCCCTGCTCTGCCTTTTTCTCTCCCTCTGTGTCAGTTGTCTGTGCAAACACTTGGAATTTTAAGACTACTCAACTTGAGACTAGTAGGCAGTATGATTTATGGTTGAGTGCAGGCTCTAAAGCCAGAATGCCTGCATCTGAATCTTAGCTTCACCACTTACTAGCTGTGTGATTTTTGGCAAGTTACATAATTGCTCTATGCCTTAGTTTTCTTATCTTCAAAATGAAGGTAACAACAGTACCCACCTCAAAAGAGTTATTATGAGAATTAAATAAGCTAGTTCACATAATTCAATGTCTGGTGCATAGTAAGCACTTACTAGATGTTAGATAGTATTAGTGTTGTTGTTATCATGCAAGTATTCATTTTTGCTCTGCTTTGGCATGACCTTCACATACTAAAATGTCCGAAAAGTGTTTTACCACCCTAAATAATCTAAAACCGTATTTTATACCTGGCAGCTGCTTCTCTCTTCCCATCTTCTAGTGTCCTCCAATGAATGTGATCTCCAAAACCTAGAAGAAAAGAGTCTTATAAACATTCACACATGAATAAAGAGTAAAGACCCAAGAAAGAAGCGTGGCATGTTCACCCATAATAAAGGCTTTCCTCTATCAAGAGCATGGTGTTCAAGTCCCTGTTCCACCACTTTCTGGGTTTTTTGGACCATGGACTGTCCCATACCTCAAGCTTCACTTTTCAGACCTGTAAAATGGAGATAACATTGCCTACTGATAGTTTTTAAGGAAAATAAATAATGTCTGTAAAATGCTTTGTAATCTAACACAGAGTATGCAAATAATACAATAAGAATGAATGGGAATTTTCCACAGAGTAAACATAAAGCAGGTCATAACAAATCATTACTAGTTGAAGACAATTCAGCAATATTGCTTTTGAGTCTGAAAGAGATGGATGACGACTCCAATGCCTATTAAATGCATGAATTTTGTGAATAAAGTAAGCTCTCCAAGTCCCAATTTCTTCATCTGTAAAATCAAGATAATATACCCACCTCCAAGTGTGGGTGTAAGGATTAAATGAGATAATATTTTTAAAGCTTTTCTTGTCTTAATTCCCCACACTTCAGCCAGAGTGATATTTTAAAATCACATCTCTGGTGGGTAAAAACTTTTCAGAGGCTTTCCAAGCCCCAAAAAGAAAGGCCAAACTCTTGCAGCAGGACTTACAAAGCCTTTCAGAACATGGCACTTGCCCACCTCTCCAGGCTCACTTTCCACACTTTTCCTAAAATCTTACACACAAAGCTTCTTTCAATTCCTTAAATGCAGCATGCACTTTCTCCCCTCCAGCTTTCATAATCACTGCTTCTCCTGCCTTTCCTTCCACCTTCACCTCCCATTCATTCTTCAGGTATAAACCTAGAGGGCATTTCTTCTAGTAAACCTTCCCTGATTCCCATGACAGCACTTCCCAGGCTGAATTGTAAATGTTGGATGTGGTCCCCTTTACCCCAAAGCGAATTCCCTAAGAGTTGGGAACATAACTGTCTTATTCCCTCCTGTTTCCCTAGCTCTTAGCTCTATACATGGCCAAGGAAAGTGCTCCATAAAGTATTTTATTGAGTAAATGAATCTTATTTCAGCCATAACATAAATTACTCAATTTTATATCTGGAAAATGTTAGTGATCATAATAATGCTAGCTGCTATTTATGGACCACCTTCTATATTCTTGGCACATCACATGTGTTACCTCATTTAAATTTGGCAATAATTTATAATAATCCTCTCTTACTTAACCTCTCTATACTTGTTTTCTCATCGTTAAAATAGGTATAAGTGATCAGTAAGTGGCAGCGTTTGTTATCTTTACAGTTGAGACTTCTGAGACTCAGAGAAGTTACAGAACCTGTACCAGGTCACAGAGCTGGTAAATGGTCAAGTTGGGATTTAAACTTCAATTTTATGACTTTTCAATTACTATACTATCTCCCACGCCTTTCTTTCCTAGAAATAAATTCAAATTTCCATCATTGTTAACACAGAGAAGTAAATAGCTCATTCAGATTAGCACATGGGGGCAAAATCCAAACTAACCATCAACCCTTTTCATTCCCAACAGCATGGGCTGCTGACCAGGAGGAAATGTGTCACTTGCCGAGAGCCCAAAGTCTAATCCTGAATAGTGAACAATTACATAAGAGTACAACTGGGAGGATGTTCAGAAGAATTGGAAGGTACTTAATGTGATCCCCATCATTCTACTTGTCAACACCTAAACTCAGGCAACTTAATCCTGCTTTGGCAGGATGCCCAGCTAGACAACTCTGTCTACCCCCTCCTCCTCCCTCCCTTTCACTCTCTCTAAAAACCAATGGAAAAAAATATCCTGGGGTAAGGATTCAGAAAAAGAGTTTGGATTTGTATATGTTCATTTTGAGATGCTTACTAGACATCCAATTGGAGATGCTGAATGAACAACTGAATATCTGAACCTGAAATTCAAAGGCGTTATGAGCATATGAATGTAATTTAAAGCCTGAGACTGAATAAGATCCCACAGGAATGAGTAGAGATGGAGAGGAAGTCCAAGAGCCCTGGAGTCCTCCCAGGGAGATAAAGAATAACTAGCCAAGGCCATAAGAAGGAACTGCCAGTGAGATCGGCAGAAAACCAGCAGTGCGTGGAGTCCTACAATCTAAGTGTTTCCAAGATGCTTCAAGAAGGAAAGGTGATCAATTGACTCCACTATTCCTGTTAAATCAGAAATGACCACTGGATTTAGCAACTGAGGAACAGTGCTGACTTTGGCAAGACCAGCTTCAACAGAGGAGTGAAGATGACAGCATAATTACAGCAAATCAAGATAGCCCAAAGGAAGATTTCTAGAGCTAGGACACACAGCACTTTCAAATAATTTTGCTGAAGGGGGAAAAGGGCATTGCTAAAGGGAGCTATGAGTTGAGGAAGGGTTTTAACTCAATGGAAAGGGAAGTATAGGATGTTGAAAGCTGATAGAAATTATATAATAATGGAAGAAAAGCTGATGATACAAGATGAGAAGAGAGGGTAAAAAAACATCGTGAGCCCTAGCGGTTTGGCTCAATGGATAGAGCGTTGGCCTGTGACTGAAGGGTCCCGGGTTTGATTCCGGTCAAGGGCACATGCCTGCGTTGCCGGCTCGATCCCCAGCGTGGGGCATGCAGCCAATCAATAAATCTCTCTCATCATTGATGTCCCTCTCCCTTCCTCTCTGAAATCAATAAAAATATATTTTTTAAAAATATTGTGAGTAGGTAAAAGGACATGGGATTTATTACTCAAGTTGAGGGACTAGCCTTTGCTAGGAGCACAGTTTATCCAACAAAGATAGGAAAGGAAGAATATATGAACACTGGTGCTAGAAGGTTGGTAAATGTAGTGGTGACGGTTTTTGAAAGGTCTCTTTTAATTCCTTCTATTATATAGGAAGCATGGTCACCAGCTGAGAGCAAGGATTGTGGAAGAAGCCTGGAGGTTTGAAGAGATGAGGAAATATGAAAAAGTCCCCTAAGAGAAAAGAACCAGAGAAAAAGGATAAGTAAAGGGCATGTTTCTGGAAGGAAGGGATTCCAG